TCTAACAAGTGTTCTCCTCCTATTGCCTCTTATCAGGGTTGTTTACTCCGGGAAAAAAGTGTAGCGAAGAAGTCATGGGATACGAAATCTACACCAGTGCCCTCGCGGACGTTCTCTGTGAGCCTTCGCTCACAATGCCGCTGACTGTAGGAATGTATGCCCGTTGGGGAAGCGGCAAGTCATTTGTCTTGCGCAGACTGCAAGGTAAGTTTTGAAAAACGTTTTATTGTCCACGATGTATGACATCAGTAAAAATAAGTTGTCATCGGATTCCCACTCCAATCCTCTAAAATGTCGGCGGTTGGAATAAGGTGTGGATGGGACACCTAAAGGGCTTGCCAGTGTTTAACAAAACCCCGTTTCAGTTAAGCCACTTTCAGTTTGCCGAACGCTATTATGTTAGTACCATTTTATTGTGAACAGTTTCATAAGAGCATATGGCGTAGACTAGAAAAACATTTGTCTTCTTAGAATGACCCACTAATGAAGAGATCTGCAGATCCAAAGATTTCCTAAACCGCGGTCTAAGTTAGACTTCGTTCAGAAATTTCGCCAACCAGTTCCTTCTGCAACATGGAATTTTGGTCAACCGATGCGCACGAAATGCGCCTTTTGGAGTGTTTGCGTTCGATTGGAAAAATCAGGATTTGCCTAAAGAACGCACGCTAAGTAACTTTTTTTGTAAATCAGTCGTAATAGCATAATGATGCATCATTTCCTCTCAGCTATACCCAGAGCATACCTCTTCGCCCCCTCCCCCTGACCTTTTATAGTCCGGAGCAGCTGACTGTCTGTTTTTCTCTTGTCTTGTTACAGAGGAGATGCGCGAGTTTGCCCATCAAGATTTGAGGCCGATTTTTCATTTTTCTCGTTTCATATTTGTTCTTCTTCTGGTGTTATGTACAGTTATTGGTGTTGTTCTCTCAGCATCTGTTAGCCTTGCTGCTGGAATTGGTGTCGGCGTCGGAATCTTTCTGGCATGTTACCTTCTATTCTTGTGCGCATATATAGCAGACAGACGCTATAACCGCGGTGAACCGTCCTGCGGTATCGGCGGTTACGTCACAAACGCGGTGTCGACAGTAAAATTGTTGTGTCAGCTTGTGTTCTGTGTTCCTCCATGTCCAGGCATAACCAAACCCAACATGCCAGTACGCTTTCTTTTCACAGACTTCAGCAAATTAACATGCAGCGGAAGCGAGGCAGCTTCCTTGGTGGGAATGATTGAAAATTTATGCGATGTCGTCGAGAATGAATTTGGATTTTTTGTGAGCAGGTTATATCGAGTGTTTCGCTCTCAACCTTCGGAATACGATGAGACGTCGATGACTGAGGCGCGTTGGAAACGCTGCTGCTGTTGTCTGCCCACTTTTACCGTCTTTCTCGCTATTGTGGCGCTTGGAATAATAGGAGTTGTGTTTTTCAAAGTTTACGGAACGAGTGGTGGATCTGTCATCACAGGGATCGAGATTGCGTCTGCGTCGATTGTTGGTGTGGCTGTGCTGATTCACCTGCCCACGCTATTTTCTATCTTGTACTCGCTGGTCTTCTCGCAGAAAAAGAGGATTTCGGTTGTAGCAACTCAGCTAGGACTAAAGGAAGAGGGATTCATACATGCTCTTAAACAAGAAGTGGAATTGTTGACGGACTTAGTGAACTGCGTAGATGGATTCACAAGACATCAAACCCGAGTTGTGATTTTGATCGATGGATTGGATAATTCGGAGCAGTCAAAAGTCCTGCAGCTTCTTGATTCTGTCAATTTGCTTTTTACTGATCCTGAGGCACCGTTTATCATATTAATGGCTCTAGACCCGAGGGTCATCATACGCGCCATCGATCAAAGCTTCAGCAGTATCTTGCGTGAGTCGCACATTAGTGCTTCGGATTACCTCAAAAGCATCGTTCAACTTCCTTTCTACCTCCCTGAACCAAAAACAAATTATACCGGTGTACTACCCCCTGGGGTAGTCACCCTTCTGGAGGAACTAAGAGGTGAGATACACTCGCAATCTGGGGCGGCGGCGGCGCCCGAGAGAATGTCGACGAGCGTCATCGGAGACGAGCTAGAGTGGGATGGGGAGATGCTGGATTACAGTACCGAAAGCAGCGTACCCCAGAGGATATCACGTGACCTGCACAACTGCAATGGCGGGTTGTCGAGTCGGATGCACCCGGATTTAGAGTTGCATCACTCCATGTTGTACGAGCCTTCGCGAGAGGAGGAAGAGCGTTGTTTGGACCATCAAAAGCTCCTGGACCGAGAGCTGGAGCTCGAGGAAAGGCACAGGATTTCAACGGACCTTGCTCAAGTCCTGGCTGATAACGAAACTGTAAATCCTCTTGGTGTAAAACGCCTTATGAATATTATTTCCTTGACATGCCGCTTGCTGCGCGCCCGCGGTATTGAATACTCATGGAAGCGGCTTGCTGCCTGGGTGAGTGTTGTAGATGGATGGCCCTACAAAACCTCATGGCTCGTACTTCTTATTGAAGACACTAACACACGCCTGAAAGATAATGTTTCTTTGAAAGATCTTTATGAAGCTACGTTGTCCGCCATGCCTGTGATCAATGAAGTTGATTGCGCAGTGGACGGAGATCCAGTGTATTTCGAAACTTTTCTTGCCAGTCATTTTCCGCTGCTGAGTACGGCTGACGTACGGCGCTTTCTGCCGTGCACCGTGCATTTGGATCCGTCTTTACGAAGACAGATGGTGGAGTGTCTGCAGTCCGGAGGTTCCGTGACTGGTAATAAATCAGACACCGGAAGCTTGGGAAAGGGCAACCCAACATTGCAGGTAATTAAGAAATTGCATTTTACGCGACAGAAAATAGTGAGATTTAGATTCCTAGTCTACGGGGACGAGATTTTCTTAATACTAAGTAGTGCGCGCGCGTGAACCATGCCAGCGTCATTTTGGCGGGAAAACGTGATAGTGTCGTGAAAGTTCATAATAGGAACTTTAAGATCCAACGACGCGGACGACAACGAGAACGTCAAAAAAAAAAAATAGGTTTAATTAGCAAAACAATAACTTCGCACGTACATCACACTTTTTTGTACATTTCTTTCCCGTTTTTGTACGACTACGACGTGAAAGTGCCTAATTTCGCGTTTTATGGAGAACGTAAACAAGCAACGACGAAATTTTATTTCTCTTTCTGAGCTTGAATATGGTCCCTTGAAATTCAGCTTTAGGAGGGTTCACCTACAATTGACAAAGTAAGTGGGTAGGAATAATCGCTATTAAGACTGAAAAATTCAAATTCACTTTTTAAGCGACGTTTTTGTCGCCGTCGCGTCGTTGGATCTTTAAGTCCCTATTTTAGCGAGAATGTCGCGGTGGCGGAAACAAGTTATCAAATGTTACAAGTTTTATTATTTTGCGGTCAGGAGAGGGTTTAACCTCCTTCAATACAAATAACTGTGCTCACTTTTCTAGCTGGTGAAAAAAAAGTATGCTGAAGCTTTCCGAGGTGTTTTGTAAGAATATCCGAAAAAACGTGAAAGTTAAATCTTAGTTAAATCGAGTCCTCGTAGCCACCCTTGTTTTTGTACTGTTAACGTGTCACTACTTAGATCTGGGTAGTGCTTCTGGATGGTTGAAGCATATTAATATTTAACCGCCGCCTGGTTAGCTCAGTTGAGAGAGCGCTGGTCTGCTGAGCGGCAGGTTGTGGGTTCAAACCCCGGCCGGACCAACAATCAGGGTCAATCTAGTCTTTCTCCGATAAGGACAAAAAATCGTAGGTTCCTTCTCACAGCACTTTCACTCATCTGGTTCTTGTCGGACGTAAAAAGAGTAGGGGACGTCGACCCCGGTGTTGTGGCCAACCAACTTTCCTCGGCTGGGTGGGTTATCTTTAAGAAAATCTTAATAAAAATAACCTCATGATCCTCTTTCAGGTGTTGTAATGGCTTCCTGTAAACAGTGTATGTATTTATTTATTTGTCATCCCCGTCACGACCAATCAGAAGCGCTCCCCCAGTTCTGGGTAGTGACATGGTGGAATTTCTGCGCTCGTTCCTCCGAAGTCCTTTGCTGGGCAACCAGTTGCCATGGCGTCGCGAAATGTCGGCTGTTGTCTTAGGCTAATAAGAATCCACGAGAAGAAATTCTTCAGTTTATCTAATACTTCTTTCTCATCTTTAGGTCGGCACCACGTCTAACAAGCAAGCGGACATAGCTACTTTAACGATCGAGGATGTTTGTAAGCAGGTCAGTGGTAAAATTAAAAGGAAAATTTGCCTAAGGTTTTCACTTATTGTATATTGTTGATTTACCTTGGGCAGCGTTGTGGGCAGTTATTTAAGAGAAAAGCACATGAATACCAATCGAACTGGTGAGCTCGGGAACTGGTGTCTTTTAAAGTTGACAGTGGCGTAAGCAATTCAGGTGTCCATGGCAACGTGTGAAACGTCGCTTGATGCAATAACTTTATATCGCCAACGTTCCGCAGAAAGTACGCACCTGACCACCCACTGACTTGTTCGAATGGCTGGTATTATTGACAAACGTGAAAGTAAAAGCGTTCTAAAGGTCATAAATTTGCAATGATCGCTAAAACTAACGAGAAGGGGCGTTTTTCTGGTAGTAAAATAGAAAGAGAGAAATGGGCCAATTTTTTATACCCCGTTCTAGAATTCGCCCTAAAACTGATACCCCATTCTAGAAATGGGCCAATTTTTTATACTCCGTTCTAGAAAGTTTGTAAATTGAAATAGCCCTGTTTTTAAAAAGATATTTCTTTATTTGTTCGACTTATACATCAAGTAAATGCTTCTTCATAATCAGCAACAATTTTAAGCAGAAGATAAAGCCGTGATCCACAATTTTTTTTATTTCCCATCTTATTAAATTGTGTTTAAAACTTCGTGCGTTCGAAACAATATACCCCGTTCTAGAAAACGCCTCTGAAATGGATACCCCTTTCTAAATCAGGAGCTTCAAAATCACGACCCCGTTGGGCGGCACATACCCGTATAGGTAATGTATGGGAGTACCCTCCCCCGGGGTGTTCCCTCACCATTTTTATCATCAGCCTTTTTACGTTCTATTTTGCTCTTCGCGCGGCTCCTTCTATATAAAATCCTGCGAGAGCATGAAGTGGTCACCTAAAACGTTAAGATGTAGTCACAGTATATGGACTTGTAGTGAGGGGCTCTTGACTACACTAACAGGAAGATCCCACTTTCCAACCCTGTTTTCCGGGCTTTTTCTTAGGAAATGGGTGGGGATAAGAAAATCTGTGGGAACTAGGTTGCCCTCTTTCCGTACTGGCGGTTATACATAAACTCTGCTTACTGGCAAATTACTACTTACACGGCCACCGTTTCAAATTTACCAAAATATAACGTATCTTTCAGGTAGCTGAGTTAGAGGGCCTCGGCCAGAAACAGATTTCCACTTACCAGGCCACCATAACAGAGAACAATATCAACGGTAAAGTGTTGGCTGCTTGTGACCTGAATGAACTGGGACAAATCATGAACATGACCTTTGGTGATTGGCAGCTTTTCCGCGCATGGGTACTGGAGGCCAAAAATCCCAGCCAAGATTGCGTGTGGTACGTCCTTCTTTACCTGTTTTCTCTTGTGCGAGATTGAATTCTCTCTTCTTTTGGATGCTAAGCACCCTAGGTAGCAGTTGCTTTTCTGGCGTTCATGCAGCGGTAGGCCAGACAAGCGGCAAGACTTAATCTAGCAGAAACCGGAAACCGCGTAAAAAAAAATGTCTCCGGCAGCCCGAGAGTAGATCCTAGAATATGCATATTTTCTTTTCAGAATGTGATTCAGACTCCATTGATCCATCATAGGGCACATATAACACAAGTTTATTAAGGACGGCATTCTCATGCAGCTTACGTTTCAGTGATGACTGATACGGTTTCGCAAATTAAGTTTTAACTCGGGGGTTTGCTACGGTTTAAAAAAATATGCGATCTCTGAAGTAAGAAAAATTCAGCCAACAGTTAAGTTTTTCGCTGCCGTCGATTACATTTCCGGCGGTTTTTGAGAATTCTGGTAGTTAACGAAGGTAGCTGTCAAATAGTTCAGGCACATGGTTTATCATGACGGATTTGCAACAATCTCCGCAGGATGCGTTTATTGGAAGAAAACTCCATAAAGCTAGTCCTCTGTGTGTGCTTTTTGAAATAGTGTAACTCTCTGTCACTATTCTTTAGTTTCGATCATCAATCTTCGTCATTAGAAATCACTGTTGGCTTCTAGTCTTCCTGTTTGCACCTCTCTCTTTGTCATTGTTATTTATCATTGTTATTTAACTGTAATTTTTTTCTCCTTTTGGTTTCTCACCATTTTATGGTAGAGTATTCGTCTGAACCCGTCCTCGATTATTTGAGAATATTCTTCTCTCTCCTTCGTGTTCGGCCAACCATTCCCAATATACTCATCCTGGCTTGTCCTTGGTCATTTCTTCCAGTCACTCCAGTAACAGATGTGTCAGTCCAGGAGAGATGAACTGCCAGCTTCTCAAGACATCTTCAGGTTAGAAATCTTACATTTCGTCCTTTCACTTGAAAATTACTCGATGAACGTTCGTTGCTAGAAATGGGAAGCTTAAGCAAAGTTGGGGGACGCGCTTCAACCGGAAGTGAGGCCTTAGATCCCTTTTAACCTTTTCACTGCCAAATGTGGCCAAAGGCAAATTTCGACCAAATTTGCAAATTTCATTTTCTAAAATTTTGAGAAACAAATAGCATCGTGTGAAAGTACAGGCAGAGAGCTTTCATTTGAATGGTCACCTCATAGGATTTCGTCCATAGACTCAAAAGTTAGAGTCACCTTACAAAACTCCATCAAACACTCTGGCAGTGAAAGGGTTAATATGCCTTGACGCTACCATGGATAATAGAATATCCATGAGAACATTTGCCTATAAAGTCAGGCAAAGACAATGCCTAAGAATGTGCTCAACGACGTCCATTTCGAATCGCACTATATGGGACTGTTTTGAGGTGCGAATTGTGACCCAGATTCCTGAAGAAGAAAGAAGAAAGTGAAAGCGTTTGTAAAACAGTGCCATAAAGCAATTCGACCCGACACCGACCCAGTCTCTCGCTCAGCCTTAAAATGACTGTGCTAGATGGCCCCGGGACCCACCTTTCCTTATAGCGAGGCAGTTGGTTAACAATATAACCAGGGTATAACCCCCATAAAAGAATCGTTTTTTAGACCCCATTTCACTTGGCCTCCCTTTGCAGGTCCATGGGATCACATCAGCCCGCTGCCCGCTCCTGGTCAGAGCACTGCAGACTCACCGGAACAAGTTCACCAAGAGACTCTTTCATCGAAAGCCCCGGATATAGTTCTCCAGCCTCCCTCGGCATCGGAGTCTGACGATGAGGAGGAGAATAATGGAGAGACTGTCGGCACAACAGAGACTGAATTGGATAAAGAGGAAAGCACTGCGAAACACAACGAGGTGTTTCGCCATGAAGACGAAGAGGATGGAGCAAGCGACTTGACGGATAATTTCGGTTTGAAGCACAGTGAAATTGACCAAGAAAATGTTCTTATTTCTATTGAAGACGATGTTAATTTGCCGCCTCAGCCCGAGGCCCCCGCGGTATTTGACGATGATAGCGACGAAGATCTCCCTACACCTCCCCCGTGCGGCACAGATTTGATAACTTTCAGCGAGTCAGAGGATCAAAGAGAACGCTCTGACCTTGAAAACGAATCTTTAAGTGTCGAGCGAACAAGTACAGCTTTAGGGTGGGGAAAGAAACGCAATTTTACGCCTAGAGTCGAATGCACGTGCGAGAACCTTCATCCTTTACAAACAATTGATCCCGTGCGAGAGAGCAAAACATCCAGCAATTCGCTGTTTTTTGTCACCGAAGACACCGCGGAGGCTGGTCGCCCTGCACCTATAGTGTTGACAAGAGCAAGAAATGGGCCAATCAAGGCTGCCGTGACCGTCAAACGGAGTAACAGCACTTCCGGAAGTAAAAGTACCAGTAGTAGCAGTTCCGGTTCATTTCGACCATCTCTTCCCCAGTCCGTCTCAGTGGATTTCAGTCACGAGAGATCAACGCCGAGTCTCTCGATTCGGCAAAATTCGTTACCAGAGCCCCGAAGTGTAGCGCGGCCTTATTCTTCTTCAGATATTGTCACTATCGAGCACCCCCCAAAATTCGTGAAAGCGTTTCAAGATCATCCGCTGGCGAATACAGTCGATGAACACGAACCTTTTACCCAGGCAACAGATCCTTTGATCCCTGAAACTCCTAAAGAGGAGAAAGACTTGAACCGTGTTAGTCGTGATTCAAATGACTTTCCACCGCCACCCCCGTCCATCGAGGATAGCTCAACTCTTGACCAAGGGGACTGCCCTTGGGTGCCGCTTATGTCTCGATTTCAGGTAGACGAGGGGGTTTCGTCGATTGAGGAAAGCGATGAGCCGTTATTACCGCAGCGTCGACCCAAAACTAAATCATCAACAAGCGAGCATGAGCAGAGAATGTTCAAATTCCGATCTTACGCGCCAAAAGCAAAGCCAACTTACGTCGAGGTTAAAAACAGCGAAGAACATGACCAAAAAAGTGAGACTTGTGTGTGACAAGATTGTCAGTTTTCTTTGGTGGATGTTTGCAGCTTTTATACTCCTGACACCCAGCTAAAAGCAGTGGTGTTCTCTCAAAGATCACTGGGCTGGGCTGTGCATGCGCAGATGAGAAAAACGTCCCGGTACCATGCTTCCTCGGAAACCAATTCCCAAATAGTGGGACGGACGCAGTGGTTCGCGTTGATGTTAAAGACTTTGCAAGGGGGGGGGGGGGGTATTCAACTTGTCAAAAACTAACTTATTAGCGAGAGTCAGAAGTAGCGGGAGTTTCTTTAGTCAAATGTCTGTAATTTATTTTTGCCTGGGATTTAGCTGCTGTCCGTATTATTGGGGTGACCGCAAGGAGAGAGATGATTGTATAAAGCAGTATCACAGTTAGCTAAAAGAGTGTGTTTGTTTAATAAATTTAGAAAGCGATAATTGCTAACTAATCTGTGGCCTCCGGGTTTTTAACTGTTATCATTATTTATGTTGGATAGAATCGTGGATGCAACTTTGTCAATATGTATAGCAGGCGCTGCTTATAAAATCGTAATTTTATTGCCGACAATTTTTTAGCGTTGTTTTTATCCTGTATTATTTTGTAATTGTAGTAATAGGAGTAAGTTTTGTTTAGTTCATCTTCCGATTTTATTGCGGTTATAGACCGCTTAGAAATCAAAAGTATTGATTCTTGGTGAGAATCGAATATCGTGTTCAATTGTATTCATTCTTAGAATTTATTTATTTATTATGTGACGTAATGAGCTAATTTATAGCTTAAAAACGTATTGATGAAATATGACTGAACTGTAAATGAATCGAATATTAAATGGAGAGAGGCAAAACGTCTATGTCAGCGAATTGTCCGCAGTTTCTAGTTTGCCTTTCGATGGAATGAACAATGACAAGTATCTTTAAACGCTTGTGTGTTTTTGTGATACCGCATGTAAATGCCAAATGACCACATGGCTTTCTCCATTCAGACCGTGAGCAATTTTTAGCGAAGGCAAACCGTAGGAAAAGGAGAGGGTCGTGGAAAATTAAAGAGCAAGTCCAAACCAAACTCTTTCTCTTGCCGAGTTTGCTCTAATTCGCTGTGACAGTGATGTGGGCATCCCCGCGTTTTGGGTATCACCATTCCCAAAACCCAACACAAAAAAACCCTCCGTTAAGTCGCCCCTAGTGATATGGGCATACCTTGTAAGCCTAACCCTAACCCAAATCGCCAAGGTAATATGAGAAGGGGATGTCCATATCACTAGGGTTTTGGGAATGGTGATGCCCAAAACACAGGGATACCCATATCATTGTAACATCGCCACCGAGTTAACTTTCCCAAAGACTTCTGTGGCCTTCCACGCAGACGGAGGGCTCTCTCCTCCTCTCATCCAAACCTGGCGAGAGTCACTGATTCAGTGAGTGAGTGGGGGCGCAAAATTTGTTTGACTTGACAAACGCAGTACCATAGCTAAGTAAATCTATCCATCCTGATCCATCCTAGAAAATTCGGTAATCACGTGACCTTACACCGCCCCACCTCCCGAGCGTCCGTCCGCACTACAGGGATACCAATGTTTAATCTCACACTTTCTAGCTAGTTTGTGAGCCCAGGTGCAACCCGATATTGCACATCGATGTTGTGATCAATCGACAGCTGTCAAAACAGGGTGTCCGCCGACCAGTATCACCTGGCAGGCATCAAAGTAGAAACTTTCAAGGGGTGTCAGGCCGTACATCTTCACCGGCGTGAAACCTTTGAAAACCTTTTACACATTGCTTCAGTGAGGAGAACTCTTTCAGGGATTTAAACTTTAAAATTTGAACGATGAAATAGCTTCTCGATAGCGGACCAAGATACGGCTCGGTACAGTTTATGTTCATCAAAGGAAAATTGTGTAAGTTGAGCAGAACCTTTAAAATGTACAACAGACAATTTATTCAGTTCGCGCGTATTGCTGTTGAATTTGTATCGACCCATCGAGGTCGAGTACTTTTTTGAAGTTATTCCCTGACAAGTTAATAGTTGATCGCAGGTTCAAGTTTATTTTTTTAAAAACGCATAAGAAAGGAAGACAGTTACTTTTGACTATTCTCGCTATGGTCACGCGTTGGTGACGCTCTACGTCCAACCCTAACCCTAACCCTAGGGTTGACACTATATAACCCTAACCCTAGGGTTGACACTAACCCTAACCCTAACCCTAAAACAGCATTCTTTAAAAAAGAAGACTCCGACCCCGACCCCGATCCCGCGTTTTACTGACAACCCTTTATGGGTGAAAACAAAATGAAGCCGCAGTTCCGAGGTGTCTTTTTAAAAAAAAACACGAGCAAAAAACTTTACGTTAAATTTCGTACTCCTACTTGTTTTCTTCCTCAAGTCTAAAGCTCTCTAATAACTTTTCAAACTGACGCCAGTTTTTTTATCAAGTGTCTGTCCTCTTATTGATGATAAGTTGACGTTACAACATTGACAAAGTGTTGTGGATCCACGAGTATATCCAAACAAGAACCTTCTCGTGAAGTATACTGATGACATCACTATAAGGTCTAACTTTGCCGACTTATCTTTGGAAGAGGTGCAGAAAATTCAACGCTGGTCTATTGAGAATCGAATGACCCTGAACCTCAAAAAGACGTGGGAAATGGTGGTTAGAGGAAATACTAAGAAAGCAACCCATTGAGAGGAAGGGGGAACTCAAGTTATTGGGAGTAACATTAAACGAGGAGCCATGCAACTGGGACACGCATCTGATGCATTTCGATCATGTGATTTCTAAGGCTAGCCCTCGATTATATATTTTAAGAGTTTGCAAACATTATGGTTACTATTTGCAGGAGCTTACACTACTATTTGATAGCCTTATTATTTCTTTTTTCGGTTATGCTATTCAGTGAAATCTGGGCCTTGTACCTATGATAGCAAATACCTTTCTCAGATAGATAGGTTTTGTGGACGTGCAGTAAAGTATGGCTATATTGCTAAGTTCACTCCCACAGCGGCGGGGAGCGAAATAAAAAGTGCAGGGGGGGGCTGAAAATGAAATTGGACATTCCATTTCTCTTCCGCCCCCCTCACCATAAAAGACAAAAAAGGCGGCCTCCGTCTCATTTTAAGACACCGACATGCGACATGCGCACCGGGTCGGGCGGGGGGGGAGTGCGGATAAAAAATGAAATGCCCTAATCCAACCTGCAACGTACGTTGTTTCTTATATTAAACAGACGAGTCGACGTTTACTTGAACTTTCCAAAATAGTGTTTTTAAGTCAGGAATGGCTCCTGTTTAAGTCCTAATGAGTTGACCGTAGTAAAATAAAAGAAAGTTACTTATTATTCTACAAAATTATTACAAAATTATTTTGAAAAGAATAATAGAACAATTATTGAATCCGGATTTCGTATCTCATGAAGAATTATGGAGATCTCGAAGGGTGTTAATTATCCGCCTCGGCCTACGGCCTAGACGGATAACACCCTCCTCGATCTCCATAATTACTGGGCTGCCCGGAAGCCCAGTCATAAATTCGGTTTTCGGTTGTCTGTGGCGAAAAACGGCCTCCCGGGGAGGGGAAGGCACGAGGGTCTGGTACCGAGAAACGGTGTTCTCACAAATGGTTTCGTATGATTTTCTCTTACACGGACTCTTGCACGAACACTTTTTGTACCTCGTCTCCGCTCCCCCTGGAAAACCCAGAAGGTGTTGTGAATCTGAAGAAGGCTATTTGCGTTGTTCGAAGCGATTCGATCATAGGAGTCACTTTATAAGTTTTGTCATTGTTCGTGTTTAAGTCAGTTGATGATGTTGGCGCTGGGAAACTCAGAGAAATGCTCACGTTGCATACAAACCCACACGCCGTTCACGGTAGGTTCACTCTAAAAGATGACTGAGAGCGTCAGGTTTGGAACGCCGGGGTAGTTTCGTGAACTCAAAGAGAGAATTATCAATCGATGTACTACATGAGCAATTAATAAGCACAATTTATGAGCAAAGTATTTCACCAGTTGACGACACTGTGGTTAAAGACTTGACTGTAATTATAAGCTGTCGTACTCACTGAAGCGAACAACTCAGTTGCCGACGAATGTCAGATGAATCCTGATGTATGAAGAGGGGGGTGAATAGGGGGATGCAAATCCGCCGATCCGTGGCATTTTTAGGCCCGGTCCGTCGATCTGACTTAATTTTTGTTCAAATCCGAATCCGTGTTACTTTAAAAATTTTTCGTGGTATATAGAAAGTAGCGTTGTAGCATGAAAAAATGAATTACTTAATATAGTTGTTCTGTAATCACAACAGATGCGGCACTTCATGTTTAAAAAGTTTTCGTTACAGCTTCAAAACATTAAGCATTAGGGACAGAGCTTATAATGTTTCTTTCAACAATGCAGATTTGACTAATCACATAGTCTGCAAGCTTGCAAAATGAAAGTATCTGGTATTGCGTAAAAGATTTTTCAATAAATTTACTTACTGACATCACTTTGGACATCCTTCTAGTCGAGCCGCAAAATTCGGAAGAGGCGGAACTCAACTTCATGGTAATTTGCTTACCAGTAAGTATTTTTCCATTGTTCATCTTGGAAGTCTTGAAACCATAATCTTTTTAACATAAACATGTTCCCACTTGGCAACAGACGAGTAAAAGAGTTAGCCACGGCAAACTTTATTTGTTTTCCGGTGCAGATATAGAGTTTCATTTACTCGTAGTTTGTTTTGTACTCAATGATTGTCAATGATACTCGGGAGCCTCTGTTCAACTTTATAGCGATGCTTTCTCCTAGCCCCAGCTCTTTTGCAGTTACGTGCAGCCCAACAAAAGTACTGCAGCATTAAATCGGCAAAACAATAGCCTGTGTACAGACGTCCCCTCCTCCCTCAGGAAAAAATCGGGAGAGGAGACGATTTTTTCCTGAGGGAGGAGGGGAAGTCTGTAAACATACCGATTTTTTCCTGAGGGAGGAGGGGACGTCTGTACACAGGCTAGCAAAACAACTAATTTGACGATTTTCAAGAAGATATTTGTCTGTAAAATGGGGCTGCCGTTAGCCGGAAAACGTAGAAGCATTTGTATGAAAACTAAAGGTAAGACTTCACGCTTCTCGGCGAACCGATGCCCTTGCGTCACGTTCAGTCCGTTTTAATATCCAAGGACTGTGAATAGTGTTTCCATATTGTTTAGCTGGCACAAAAACTTCGGAGGAGTTATAAAGCGGCATAGTTA